CTTTTGATAACTGAATTTTCAATGTAATTAAAAATTTTCTTTGTAATCTCATATATTATTTTAGTCATGTGTGAGAAGGAATCTGTGTTTCACTAGATTGCTGCCAAAGGGGGTCCGTGACACCAAAACCATTAGGAATCCTCAGATTAGATGATCTCTAGGATCCCTAACGAGATGGCTCAGTGGATAGCATGCTGAGCCTTACAGTCAGGAAGATCTGTGTTCAAATCCAGCCTGAGACACGTACTAGCTGTGTGACCCTGGGCAAGTCACTTAACCTCTATTTGCCTTAATCCACTGGAGAAGGAAATGGCAAAGCACTACAGTATCTTTGCCAAGAAAATTCCATGGATAGTATTGAGGTGCTATGGTCCATGGGGTCACAAAGAGTCCAGCACAACTAAACAACAACAAAAGTCCCTTCATATGTTCATTGATTTAGAATTGGAAAGGATCTCAGAGGTCACCTAATTCAACCCTCTCATTTTCAGATGAGGTAACGAAGGACCAGAGAGGTAATAACAGGCAGAATTTGAACTCTGATCCTCTGATTCCAAGCCTAGCATTCTTCCTAGTGTACCATTCTGCCCTACGCTAGACTTTATGGGTAAAAAGTATTTAAGTTGGGGGGGAGGGGGGAGGGGAGAGAAATTGTAAGGATACCTGCATTCTCATGAGCCATATTAACTCTCTATGACTTGACCATCGTGGGCCTAGATGGGTAGAGCTTAAAAATCAGATCCTGCAACACAAAACAAAAGAACCACAAAGCTAAACCTAAACAATCTTACCAGTCTATATTATAAACAATCATTTCACACTTACTTAACCAAGTAGCAAAATTACCTGGTCTACACTGACTCAAGAAGCAGCTGTGGTCAAATGGATAGGGCACCAGATTCAGAGTCAGGAAGTTAGATTTCTGATCTAATTTGATCATAAAAACCCTGGAATTTTATGACTAGGAAATTTAAAGATTAACCAACCCAAACTCCTCAGTCAGTAGATGAGGAAACTTTCGACTGAACGAAGCAAAATGATCTACCCAGCACATTATAATAATGGTCTAATGAATGGGCTCTGAATGAGGAAGAGCTGGGTTTGAATCTCTCACCTCCAGGCACTTTCTCCGGCTGCCCCCCATGCCTGGAATGCCTCTCCCTCCTCATCTCCACCTACTTGTTTCCCTGGCTTTCTTTAAGTCCCAACTCATCTTCTACAGGATGGCTTTCCCATCCCTTCTTAATTCTAATGCCTTTCATCTTTCAATTATTTCCCATTTTTCCTGTATACAGCTTGTTGTACATATTTGTTTGCTTGTTGTCTCCCTCATTAGACTGTGAGTTTCTTTCTTTCTTTTTTTTTTTTTTTGGTGAGGCAATAGGGGTTAAGTGACTTGCCCTGGGTCACACAGCTAGTAAATTTCAAGTGACTAAGGCCAAATTTGAACTCAGGTCCTCCTGACTCCAAGGCTGGAGCTCTATCTACTGCACCACCTAGCTGCCCCTAGACTGTGAGTTTCTTGAGAGCAGGAATAATACTAGGAGTTGCAGACAGTTTTTGTGCCAGCTGATTTCCAAGTAAGTGACTGTTGAGCAACTATATTTAGTGCTATATCATAAGGAGAAACTTTATTTTGGGGATTCAGATGCCCATCTACAAAGCAACCTGAAGGAAATCTACAGGAAAATTTCATGTATTAAAAATACTACTTTTACTAAAAACACCACTTCCATTTTTTTCCCTTCAAGTGCCACTAAAACCAGACTTGTTTCAAATGGTCATTTTCTTTCCCCCACACAGCAACTATAACAATTTGAGAACATTAAAATTTTGCCCCTTAAATCTGGGACTCAACAAGACAGCAAATCAATATACCTGAGGAATCACGGTGTGATTCAACATTCCTAAAGGAAAAACAGAAGCAGTTAAAATTAATACTGCACTTTGGTGACTGACCAATATATCCAGATGCAATCAAGTAGGCAGTTACCATTTGGAGAAACAAAGTAATTGAGACACTCAAAAACCCGGGCAAACAAGATGTGGTTATTTGATTCTTTGTTATTTAAAAAAAAAAAATCTTAGCATAGAAAATGTTTTCCTGATTTTAAATCAGAAAAGGGAGGAAACACCAGAAAACTCACTGTGTATCCCCAAAATTCTAGTTTTGGTCCCAGTCTACCACACTGGTTGGTTTACAGATGTATTCAAATGTTCTACTGAAAACAATTGGTCAATTACCTGTAGGAATCACTCCTAGTAACATCCTCAAACAACAACATTTTCAGTCACTCTGTGTCCTTTTCTGTGGCTCACCACTCTAAAAAATCTTCACACATCCTAGCAAAAATACTACGATGTTCTTCCAACAACAGAATGTTTAGTTTCCCAAGAACAATCCTTTCTCATGGAAGGGAAGAAACCAAACAATTTATTTAGCACTTACCATGTACCAGACACTCCGGTTAAGCACTTCCAAATATTACCTCATTCGAACCTCATGAGGACTTTGGGAGACAGCTGCTATTATCTCCATTTTACAGTTACAGAGGGGGGTTAAGTGACTTGCCCAGTGACATCATAGCTAGTAGCTGTCTTAAGGTCAACTTTGAACTCAGGCCTTCCTGAGACTCCAGGGCAAGAATTCACCCATGGAGTCTATACCTTCTGAAAAACAGAAACCTTTCATTATTTACTCTCCTGCATGTAACCTTGCCAATGTAAAAACAGGAGGTCATATAATTTAATAAAAAACTTATCTTCAGCATCTAAATGAGGAGTCAGGAGACTGGCCCTAAGCCGATAGAACAGGGCCTAGTGAAAAAATTTACTTCTCATTTTAACTACAACTCTAAACTTCTTTTACCTCCTCTTTGCTTGACTTGAAGGTAGCAAAATGGACAGTTACCTACAAGGATGAAGAAGGAGAAATGGAAGGTATGGGTCATGCATAAGAAGTAATAGTTCTTAGTGATGTCAATGAAGTTGGAAATGTTCCCAAATGATTGAAGCTTAAGAATTAGTCTTCTACATGCAACTCTGAAAGATATTGTCCATTTTAAAGTTATCATACTGTCCTCTATTCCTTATATTTCACTACTTCAGATATATGTCTTTATAGTTCTAACAATTCTCAAGAATGTCATACCTCCACATCTAAGAGCCTTAATGAGACTGTTAAACTGTTTTATGCTATAATTACACCTCTTACTTTTGGAAAATTCTCCTATACATTCACTTCAAGGAGGGCTGAAATTATACAGTCAGAGAACTGTAATGTCCTTGTTGGTACAAGTACAACTATCACAGACCCATATTTTACAATGTGTTGTAAAAAAGAAAGCTAAATTTATTCCAAATTTTCAATTTTCCATGACAACTTAATATGCCTTATAAAGTTCTCTTTTGTTTTAAAAGTAGTTAAATACATACAGACACCTTTCTATAATATTTAAGAATAAAAATGCACCTCCTACCTTCCTTCTTCCATCCCTGACCAAATTATTCCTAACACAAGCAGACTTGTTTGGACAGTATCATAATGCCAAGATGAATACCAAAATCCCTATCCAATGAAACATGTTACTAGCTGCCATTTTCCCCAGGGTGATTAAAGGAAAAGTGAGTATGTTAATAAAGACTCAAGAGGCACATTACACATCCCATCCCCTTCCTAAACTATTGTGTTTTTTACGGAAAACTGAAAGCCTAAGTGATAAACCCTTATGAATACCAGTAAATGATGACTGAGTCTGATTATAATCTTCTCTAGATAGACAGCACCCTCCTTTCATGAACAGTGTCAGAGTTAGTAACTGTTGGACTGCTTCCAGGTGTTTATTTAGATGTGAAGAGAAGTTTGCTCCAGAAGGCAGGCTTCAAAGCAATGCGTGATGCTGACGTAAGATACCAGGCTGTGGGAACCCTAATTGGCCTAGAAGTCATACGTTTGTCCTTGGGTTTTTTTTTTTCTCTACTACTAGCGGGAGGCACAATTAAGAGGGCAAAAAGGTAATAAGGAATCCCTGGAGTTTGTTGTTATAAAAACAGGAGTGCAAGACTGGGCATCCAAGTTTAATTTCTTCTTGGAAAAAGACAATTGGAAAGGGATAGTTGGCTCTACTGTCCGGGATGTCATCTGACATTAGTGTTAGACACACACAGTCACACATGACATCTCTGATGAGGCTGTCTTCCTGCCCTCACCACTACAGCTTCCTTCTGTGGCAACATGAAACAAGTCGAAGGAGATTTCTTAAAATGTTTACAGAAGTACTTCCCTTTTCAATGATCCCTATTTTACTCTGGATACAGTTAAGAAAGAAACCTGTTGTCCCCTCTCTAGTAACTAGAGAAATTCAAACAAATGAAGCTCGGAGGACACGCGGCTGAGCCGGGGAAAGGCGGCAGCAGGGGCATTTGAGTCCCTGGCGCCAACATCTTCCGCTCCCCGGGCCCCGGAGGACAATGGCAAGCAGCGCGTCCTCTGGGCTTCCCGGCAGGTTCAAAGCTGGCCAGGACGTTACCTGAAGGAGAGGCCCCTACCTGTCGGTACAACCAGACAGGGATGGGGTGACAGCCCACCGATGATCTCGGCTCCACGGATTCCAGGGCGAGTGGGCGGAAGGGCAGAAAGAGGAGGGATGATGAGCTGAAGCAGAAGGCGGGAGTGGAAGAGGGGGCCCTCGCCGCCCCCTGCGCCGCCCCCAGCACCGACCCCAGGAGCGGAGCCAGACGTGCAACCTCCGAACCGGCCCAAGCAGAGGCCGGCAGCTCCCACCCCCAGGGACACTGCCGGCTGCAGCCCGCATCTCCCCCACCCCCACTCAGGGCAGCGTCCCCGGCCACCCAGACCGGCACCCCTGCCCGGCAGGTGAAGCTCCCCAGTGCGCCACCTGCTCCGGCGCTCCCCTGGGGCTTTAGGGCGAGGAGCCCCCAGAGCGACCCCGATGGGGGGGAGGGGGCGAGGGACGAGAAGGGGAGCGACGGGCACTCACCCAGGGCGGAGCCCGCCTCCAAGATAGGAGACAGCCGGTAGCCATCCGAGCTGCCCAAAGCGCCGGGGGTCGTGGCGATTCCCAAGGGAGCCATCAGCGCTTCCCCTTCGCGCTCCTGCCGGAGGCAGCCAGGTCCCCCGTCCCAGCAGCTCTCGGACTCTGGGTGGTACAGTCCGGCACCCTCCCCGCTCCGCCTTTCACCCGGCACTGAGTCCCGCCTGTCCTGCCCGGCCCCGCCTCGCCCGGCCCCGCCCCGCCTCTCCAAGCCTTCCCGCTTCCTCCCCAAACTGGGTCCGGGCCAGCCTCCTATCCCCAGCTCCGCGCGGGAACCTTGAGGCAGGAGCGTGCCCCACCAGCTGCCGCGCGAGCCCCGCGGGAGCCGGGGAGGGCCGAGGGTGGCCTCGACCCTCTCCAAGCGGGCGGAGGGTACAGGAAGAGAGCTGCGGGACCGACCGGGGAGCTGGACTGCCCACTGCGGTGACCTTCCAACCCGCCCGCGTCCCAGGGCTTTTCTTCCCAACCGCGTGGTGGCTGGGAAGTTGCCCCAAGGACTGGAAGCCTATCCCTCTTTAAGCTGTGCGTAAGCCAACCTCAGTGCTTTCCCAGGGACTTTTTCTATTCCCTTCCTGGCTTTTGGCCCAGAGAAGCGGGCTCAGCCTTTCTGAGCGTTGTGTTTTTTAAAACTGAAATAGAAGAGTGTACCAAATAACTAGAATAACTTGGTCTGGGAGAGCTCTGGAGTTTCCACCTGACATGGTGCCCCTTTAGGAAATGCCTTTGAAGCCTTCTTGAAACTTGGGTATCTAATGGTGTGCCTTCAGGGCCTGTTAAGTAGGGTACAGATTGCTGTACAAATGCTGATTAGCCATTATACTACAGGAACAATCGTCACAAATTTGAACTAGTTCATCATCAATATTTACAGCCTTTAGTGCTTTCCTCTGGGTGCTCAGATCCCGCCCTGAAGAATGGATCTGGCCCAAACCTTTGGGAATTTACCATTACAAACAATGACAAGATGAGTCACTTAAAAGAAATAGACAAACCTTAAAGGAAAAAAGCTAAGGATATCTATACATATGTGTACGTACATATAAATGTGTGTACAAAATTGTTTGTTTAGTTGTTTCAGTCATGTCTGATGCCTTTTGGAGTTTTCTTGTCAAAGATACCGGAGTTGTTTGCCAATTTCTTTCTCCACCTTATTTTACAGCTGAGAAAACTGAGGTAAACAGGGTTAAGTGACTTGTCCAGCTTCCCATACCTAGTAAGTATCTGAGACTTAAATCTAGACTCAAATCTAGCCTCAGAGTTCAGGAAGATGAGTCTTTGTGACTGACTTCTGGCCAGGCACTCTTTCCACTGCCCCACCTAGCCACCCTTCCTATATACACACATACCTATATGTCTGTATGTGTATATATTATGTATATGTTGAGAGGGAGAGTGGTAGCCACTAGATTTCCTAGTCAGTTCTGCTAAATGATAAGCAAAAGGGTTTCATACTTCCACTGTGAAAATTTAATTTTTAAAAATACATTTATTTTGGAATTTATTTAAGAATATATTGCTATCTTACAGTTGGAGAAGACAACATGATGTCATAAAAAGAATGCTGGATTTTAAGTCAGAGGACCTGGGTAGAGTCAGGCTCTGCTCCTTCATACCTGTGTGATCTTGGGCAAATCCTTTCACTTCTCATGACCTTATTCTCATTGTGTCGAGGGCCAGGCCTGGTAGTGGAAGCCTGTAAGCCATTCAAATGTCCACACCAAGTTCGACTCCAATATCTTGATGGAAGAAGAGAGTATCAAGAAGAGCACCAGGTTGCCTAATTAAGGGGTGAAGGGGCCCAGATGGAGACCCAATCTTACAAAAAAAGATAGGATTAAACTAGGGGACCTATGAGGTCCATTCTAATCAATCAGGCACTTAATTAATAAGCACTTAAACTTATTAAGACTCTGCTATATGCTGAAGATACAAATACAAAAATGAACCAAGTTCTGCTTCCAGGAGCTTACTTCTACTTGGGATAAGCTCATAATCCTGTAAGATTCCATCAACCTTGGTACTGGACCTCATCAACTCTGCCTCTATGATTGGAGGGTGGGACCATGAACTCCAAACCTCCATTTAAGGAGAGAGCCCAGCTCAATCCTCTCATTTTTCTGGCTGCACTACTTTAGCACTTCTCTGACTGACTTAGCCAGCATGCCCTCAGTCACCTGCCTTCTCCTCTCCTCCGTCCTCTCCCAGCTTTCGTTTCTTTTCTCTTTTTTTTCTGTATTTCCCCATTTGGTTGTAAACTTCTTGAGGGTAAGGACTGTTTATTTTTTTCCTACATGTATGCCCAGTGCTTAGCACGAAACCTGGCACATATTAGGCATTTAATAAATGTTGATTTACTATTAAATAAGTAAATTCAGGATGTATACAAAAGAAATAGAAAGTCATTGTAGTACAGGAAAACTAACAACTGGAGAGAATAAGGAAATATCTCTTAATTTAATGGAGGAACTTCTGGTTCTTATAATTATATGAATTAAGTCGTGCTTGTTTTTGTTTTATAGAATGGGGTCTCCTAATTATATGACATTGGAATGCTTAGCAAGGACCTAAATTCAAAAGATGTATATTTGTCCTCTTGGAGAGTAGATATTGTTACAAAATATTTAGAAATCTTTTACCAATTACACTGATAAAGGTATTACCAGTTAGAAAATGTTATGGGAGTAAACCTGCCCATACAGGTGTTGTTGTCCTTCCTTTTCGTGACTGATACGGACATTGTGTTTTACATACAGTAGGCACTTAAATATTGTGTTTTTTTTTAAACACTTTTTTTGGGGGGTGTTTAGGCAGTGGGGTTAAGTGACCTGCCCAGGGTCACACAGCTAGTAAGTGTTACATGTCTGAGGTTGGATTTGAACTGAGGTCGTCCTGAATCCAGGGCCTGTGCTCTATCCACTGCACCACCTAGCTGCCCCTTTTTTTTTTTTTGAAGAGTAAACTTCATTAAGTTTTTTTTTTATAGGCAATTGGGGTTAAGTGACTTGCCCAGGGTCACATAGCTAGTAAGTGTCAAGTGTTTGGTCTGAGGCCGGATTTGAACTCAGGTCCTCCTGACTTCAAGGCCAGAGCTCTATCCACTGTACCACCTAGCTGACCCTGACACTTAAATATTGTTGATTGATGTTTTGGCCTGGTATTACTCTCTGATATTACTTCACTGAGACGAACATGAAAACTCAGGAGCGAGTTAAGGAAAGAGTTGTATGTGGGTTCTTTTTTTGTTTGTTTTTTGCTAGGCAATGGGGTTAAGTGACTTGCCCCGGTTCATACAGCTAGTAAGTGTCAAGTGTCTGAGGCCAGTTTTGAACTTGGGTCCTCCTGACTCCAGGGCAGGTACTCTATCCATTGTGCCACCTAGCTACCCCCTGTATGTGGGTTCTTAAGATGAAAAAGGCTTGGGACCCATAAGACTAGACTTTACAGTGAAGTAACTTTGAGTTGTAGCAAGAGAATGCCATAATACCTTTCTGAAAATTAAAATTGGATTTTAAAATAGAAACAATTTTTAACCTTTCTGCCATGGATTGGCATTAACGTTGAAAAGAGACTGTGCATCTTTTAAGTAATATGTCTCCATTGAGTACCACACTCTGGCCGTCTGGAAATGAGAATGATGCTCCAATTGTAGCTGAAATGTCATGTGTAGATTTTCGTATAATTACACATAATTCTGAACACTTGAGTTTGTACAATATTCAAAATAGAAGGGACTCAAGCTCAGGAGACAAAGTGGTGTAGTGGCTGTGACTGTAAATAAACAAAACAAAACAAAACAAAAAAAACCCTGGATTCTCATGTGGATTTTGCTATTGCCTAGCCAAATGACCCTTGCAAGGCCTTTTTCCTCCATCAGTCAATCAATAAGCATTTGTTAAGCACCTACTAAGTGCCAGGCACTGGGCTGACCACTGGAGATACAAAGAAAGGCAAAAGACAGATCTGTAAAATGGAGAGAATCTGATGATTTCTAAGGTGCCTTCCATTCTATAATTCAGTCACCCACAGACTTGCAGATCTACTTTCAAACTATCTTAAACTTTATATCAGAAAGTCTGAAGACTTTTGAATACTCAACTTTAAAATATCCCTGTTGGTTTAGGACTTACTTTGATATTTCTACATAAAGGTCTTTACACTAACCAGTCTGACTGTACACAGAGATCTGATTTGGAAATCATCTTGTATCAGTAAGTATATTTGTCAAAGTATAGTATCTCTGATATCAACTGCCCTTCCCTATCCCCTATTCAACAAACTCCGAAGGCCCCCTGTTATCTCTAGTAGAGTAAATGTAAATAAAGCTATTCACAACCAGGACCCTTCCTAGCTTTCCAGTCTTTTAGCAAATAATTCTTCCCCACTCACTATGAAAATCAGCCACTCTGGATTACTAGCTGGTTCTCAAAAAGCCGTTATTCCATCCTGCATCCCATCTCTGGACCTCTGTACTGGCTGTCCTCCATGCCTGGGATGTTCTCTCCTACTTTAAACTCTCTGACTTCCTTTAGAACTCAGCTCAAGGACCACCTCCTTCTGAAACTTCCCCCCCCCCCCCTCCCCCCCCCCAGCTACTAGCGCCTTCCTGTCTAAGGCCACCTTCCATCTATATTTATCTTGTATGTACTGATTTATGTATACTTTGTCTCTCCCATTAGACTGTGAGCTCCTCGAGGGCAGGGACTGTAGTGGGCATTCATTCCAGACTAGGTGATAATCAATTTTTTGTGTGATGTTACTTGGTGCTTTCTATGGCCAAGGCCTCCATATTTTTCATGGAGAAGGAATTCATGCTATATAAGGAAGAGATCCTTGTCCAGGAGGCAGTGAGAGTGGAAAGAACATTTACTCTTGAGCAATAAAACTTGGGTTCAAATCCCACCTCTGATACTTACTACCTTTATGACCTTGGGCAGGACATTTTAACCTCTTGTATTTTCATGAGTAGGTTGGGCTAGATGACCCCTGAGGTCCCTTCTAGCTCTGTGTCTGGAGTTCTTAACCATTTTTGTGTAATGAACCTTTCTCAGAATGTTTTTCAGTGCATAAAATAAAGCCCAAAGAATTACAAAAAGAAACTAATTATACTGATTATACATGTAATACATATATGTAATACAC